ATGGGAAGTGGGAGGGAGACAGAAACCCAGAAAATATGGAAACTATTGGGAAGCTTGTTTTATTTGTGTGTATTTACACTTGTATGTCCGGGGCCCGCTTGCATTCAGACGGCCCTCATCAAGAGCCACCGAGGGCGTCGGGGTGCGCCCTATCACGGAGCCTTCTTCGAAGGTGATAGACCTTCTACCGACACGGTCGATTCAGGAATCGGCCGTTTTCGGTTCGCGAGAGGGCGTCGCGGCCGTCATTTTTGCGGGTCCAGGTCCGTCGGTTTCGGTCCCAGGCCGTTTTCACTATGGGGAGGTTTACTAAAGGGAGGACGGTGAACGCCTTGTCACTCGTAGGCCTCCCGGGGCCCATACAGGGTGCTCAGAGACCACGCTGACGGGCGTGGGCCGCAAAGTGATGGCACGTCGTGCAAGAGAGGATGGTGTCGCAGCCTGGGGCCCAAGCTTCCAGCACCGAGCGACCCCTGACCCCGCAGGGACGGAGCATCCCCCAGGCCAGAACCTTGTTCCTCGGAGCTCACGGCATCCTCACCCTCGGGCTCCTCCGACCCCTCGGGACCCGACCCGGCCCGCTCTTGGGCGCCACTTGGGCGCTCTTGGGGCCGTCTTGGGGCCCTCTTGGGCCGTACTGGCCGCCGCTCGGGCCGTCTCGGGGCCCTCTTGGGCCGTCTTGGAGCCGTCTTGGGAGCGCTCTTGGGGGCCTTGGGAGCGCTCTTGGGGCCATCTTGGAGCTCAGCAGCAGCAGCAGCAGCAGCAGCAGCAGCAGCAGCAGCAGCAGCAGCAGCAGCAGCAGCAGCAGCAGCAGCAGGGGGGGGCACGTGGGCGAGGCAGCAGGAGGGTAGAGGAGGGGGAGGGGCGGGCACGGGGTGGGCCCTCGGAGTGGCGGCGGGCCTCCGCGGGGAGATCGGCCGAGAAAGGGCCCCGGCTCTGGAAGTAGGGAGGCGCTTGAGGTAGACTGGGGCCTGGGAATCGAGAAGTATGCGTGCAAGGCTCATATCCATATCCAGTGCCTCTTGGACGTGTTTGGGAAGCGGCGCCACCAGGCCGAGGCGCACTGGATATGGATAACTTTGTCCCCTGGAGGCTCGATGTTTATCCACATCCAGTGCGCCTCGGCCTGGTGGCGCCGCTTCCCAAACACGTCCAAGAGGCACTGGATATGGATATGAGCCTTGCACGCATACTTCTCGATTCCCAGGCCCCAGTCTACCTCAAGCGCCTCCCTACTTCCAGAGCCGGGGCCCTTTCTCGGCCGATCTCCCCGCGGAGGCCCGCCGCCACTCCGAGGGCCCACCCCGTGCCCGCCCCTCCCCCTCCTCTACCCTCCTGCTGCCTCGCCCACGTGCCCCCCCCTGCTGCTGCTGCTGCTGCTGCTGCTGCTGCTGCTGCTGCTGCTGCTGCTGCTGCTGCTGCTGCTGCTGCTGAGCTCCAAGATGGCCCCAAGAGCGCTCCCAAGGCCCCCAAGAGCGCTCCCAAGACGGCTCCAAGACGGCCCAAGAGGGCCCCGAGACGGCCCGAGCGGCGGCCAGTACGGCCCAAGAGGGCCCCAAGACGGCCCCAAGAGCGCCCAAGTGGCGCCCAAGAGCGGGCCGGGTCGGGTCCCGAGGGGTCGGAGGAGCCCGAGGGTGAGGATGCCGTGAGCTCCGAGGAACAAGGTTCTGGCCTGGGGGATGCTCCGTCCCTGCGGGGTCAGGGGTCGCTCGGTGCTGGAAGCTTGGGCCCCAGGCTGCGACACCATCCTCTCTTGCACGACGTGCCATCACTTTGCGGCCCACGCCCGTCAGCGTGGTCTCTGAGCACCCTGTATGGGCCCCGGGAGGCCTACGAGTGACAAGGCGTTCACCGTCCTCCCTTTAGTAAACCTCCCCATAGTGAAAACGGCCTGGGACCGAAACCGACGGACCTGGACCCGCAAAAATGACGGCCGCGACGCCCTCTCGCGAACCGAAAACGGCCGATTCCTGAATCGACGTGTCAGGGTAGAAGGTCTATCAACCTTCGAAGAAGGCTCCGTGATAGGGCGCACCCCGACGACCCCTCCGGTGGCTCTTGATGAGGGGACCGTCTGAATGAAGGGGCCCCAGGACATACAAGTAAATACACACAAATAAACAGATTCCCAATATTTTCCATATTTTCTGGGTTTCTGTCTCCCTCCCACTTCCCATATTTTCAATTTTTTTGCGGGGGATCGAGGATCGAGGATCAATTGTGTCTGTGTGTTTTTCCTCTCCTGACTGAAGCTGCCCGTGCTACGTGGTCTCTGCCTCGGAGGCCTGCTCGGGCGGGCCATGGCGGGGGCCGAGCCGGCTGCCTCCCCTGTCGCGGCGAGCTGCCGCCCCGTGCCTCGACCTCCCAGCTTGCCTGAAAGCCCTCGGGCTCGAGAGCCACTCTCGGGTCGGGCGAAAGGGGGGATAGCAAAGGGGGGGTTTGAGAATCAGCTTACGTAGCTGATTTTCCCCGCGCCTCCCGGCGCCGGAGGCGGCTATGTATCGAGGAATGGGCCCCTCGGTGGGGCCGAAACCAGCTGCATGCAGCAGATTTCGTAACCCCCCCTTTCCCAATCCCCCCCTTTCGTCCGGCCCGATAAGTGGTCTCTGCCTCGGAAGCCTGCTCGGGCGGGCCGTGGCGGGGGCCGAGCCGGCTGCCTCCCTTGTCGCGGCGAGCTGCCGCCCCGTGCCTCGGCCTCCTCCTCCTCCTCCTCCTCCTCCTCTTCCTCCTCCGCCTCCTCCTCCTCCTCCTCCTCCTCACTCGCAGGCAGAGGCCCTGGGCACCGGGGTCGTCCTGGCGCCAGAGCGGAGGCCGGCGGCCGGGCGTGCGCGAGGCGCTGCTGCTGCGGCCGAAGGGGGGGAGACTTCGGCTGCCCTGCGGCGGGGTGGGCCGCCCTGCCAGGGAGCTGCTGCGGGGGGCAGAACGCCGCAGCAGGTCCGACGAGTGCCCTCTGGGTTGGGCGGCCCCACCCTGTGCTTCCTGACTGCCCCGCTGACATGTCCTTCTATGGGCAGTGCTCCTCCTCCTCCTCCTCCTCCTCCTCCTCCTCCTCCTCCTCCTCCTCCTCCTCCTCCTCCTCCTCCTCTCCCACCTCCCTGCTCCTCCCTGCTCCTCCCTGCTCCTCCCTGCTCATCCTCCTCCTCCTCCTCCAAAAATCGGCTCCAGGATCTGCCCAGGCGAACGTTGTGACCAGAAAACTCGAGGAGGATCCAACCCTGGCGATGAGTTACACCCCCCAGAGACTCTGGAGAAGCGACACGTAAAACTCTAGCCTCAAAACTCGCGAACCTCCCTCCTGCCCCCCTCCACTAAGACGAAGCCAGGACGAGGACAAATTCGGGTGGATCGAGAATCTCTGAATCTGGCGGCTCTGGAGAATGGCTCCGCGGCCTTCTCAGAGAGTTCTGGAACGCTCTCAGGAACGCTATGGAATGGACTCAGTGTCGTCCTGGCCCCGTCCGGCCCCTGTGATGGGCAACTTTCAGGAATATGTTGATTTGGGGGGGAGGGGGGGCAACTCGGAAGGGGAACGTACATCGCCGCTGAATCGACGGGATGCCCTCGATGGCGACTCCAGACCTTCCTGCGCGGGGTGGGCCATCAGCGATCGCTGGGCGACTGGGGGTCGATGCATCCCCCCTCTCTCGCCATCACTCGGACGTCCATGCTCCAAGATGATCCAAGAGGCTCATCGATGGTCCTCGCCTAGGAAAACGCGCACGTCCGAGCAAGGCCAGGCTCCGTGTATCCCCCCCCTAACGTTGCCCCTGACTCGCACCGGCCGCGCCGAGCAGCTCCCCCAGTCTTTCACGCCCTCGCCCTCGCCCTCCCAGTGTTCCCTCCTTCCCCTCCACCTCCTCCTCCGCCTCCTCCTCCTCCTCCTCCACCTCCTCCTCCCCCCCTCCCTCGCCTCCTCCTCCTCCTCCACCTCCTCCTCCTTCTCCCCCTCCCCCTCCCCCTCCTCCTCCTCCTCCTCCTCCTCCTCCTCCTCCTCCTCCTCCTCCACCTCCTCCTCCTCCCCCTCGCCCTCCGCGCGGGAACGCGCGGGCGCGCGCCGAAGTGCGTGATGCAGCGGCAGCTCAGGTCCGCGGGGTTGCTGAGGCACGGCTCCTCCTGGAATCGGATCCAACGGCAGCCTCGCACCCACGGCGGGCCTCGCTGTCGCCGTGGCCCACTCATCGTCGTCGTCGGCGGCGGCGTCCGACGTCCGTCGTCCGTCGTCGGACGTCGGTCGTCGTCGCACGTCGTCTCCGTCGTCGCCCTCCTGCCGGACACGCGACCGCGCTCGGGTGCGCGGGAGGAGGACGAGACTGTCGAATGAGAGGAGGAGCGAAGGCAGGGGAGGGGGAGGGGGAGGATGAGGAGCAGAACGAGGAGGAGGACCACTGTGAACCCAAGAGTCATCAACGAGTTTGGAATAAACCATCCCTCCATGCTTCCTAATCGTAGGCCCCTACACAGATTCATGTCCACTGATAGGAATGCCCCGGTGGGGGACAGCCGTCGGATGATCCTGAGGTCTGCACAAATATCGCTCCCGGAGCTTAAACTCCACGAATAAACATAACTGTTGCGTCTTGGCGAGCCTGGGACTTCAACACCGCGAATCAACGCAGCTGTCGTGCCCTGACAGCGCTAGATCACTCAAAACACGCCACTCCTGGCACGCAAGCCATGGCATTCCGTGACACTCTTGCACATTTGTCAAACGCACGTGCGTGGCGTTTGGCGAAAACCGCATTTTGAAATCCACCCACCCTCGATCCGCAAAACTTTTGCAGATTTGTAAACCGAATGCCAACCTGGCTAAGGCGAGAACCTCATGTTTAAAACCACCGGCCCTCGATCCGTGAAACTCTTACATAATGTGTAAACGAATGCGCGAAATGCTAAAGCGAGAGACGTACTTCGAAAGTCACAAGCCGTCGATCCGCGAATCTTTTATACTTTGCCGAAACGCATGTGCGAGGCACTGAAGCGAAAACCACATGTGGAAAACCACCCGCCCTCGATCCGTGAAACTCTTGAAACATTCCCAAGACGAATGCGCACGGCGCTGAAACGAAAACTACCTTGAAAACCACTCGCCCTCGCTCCGTGGACACCCTGCAATTCATTGAAACGGGTGCGCGCGGCGCTGAGGCGAGAGCCACATTTTGAAAACAACCCGCCCTCGATCCGTGAAACGATCATAAGTGAAAACGAAATTTCAAGCGAAACGCCTGGCCCGCCCTTTCGACCAGCCTCGGGGCGCGAGAAGGAAGCTAGGAGGAGGAGGAGGAGGAGGAGGAGGAGGAGGAGGAGGAAGAAGAGGAGGAATAAGAGGAGGAGGAAGAGGAGGAGTAACAGGACGCGGAGGGGGAGGTGGAGGACGGCCGGAGGAGGCGGAGAAGGGGGAGGAGGAGGAAAAGGAGGCGGAGGCGGAGGAGGACCAGTGTAAACCCAAGAGTCATCAACGATGTTGGAATAAACCCTCTCTCCGAAACCCCTTCTGCATGGGATCCTGCATCGGAAGACAACAATTTGACGACCCTGGAACAAAAAACATTGTTGTCGGGATTGTAACGCCACGGATCAACTTCACTGTTGCGTCTTGACAATCCTGGATCGTGCCAGAACACCATTCCCGGAACTTCATACGTGTCTCACCGGCATAATCCTGAATCTCTTCCTAACGCCATGTCTGCAACGGTGATGATGGGAATCCATGAAACGGTGGCAAATGCGTGAAATGAATGTGCGGCGAGCTAACGCGAGAACCACAAATTGAACATAAATCCCCGTCAAACCGTGAAACTTCCGCAAATGTTTCGCAACGAATGCGTGCCGCGCTAAGGCGATCGCCACATTGTGAAAACGGCCCGCCCTCAATCCGTGAAACTCTTGCAACGTTTAAAACGAATGCGCGCCGCGCCTGGGGAAGAGCCACATTTTGAAAACCACCCGCCCTCGATCCGTGAAACTCCTGCAAAATTTCGCAACGAATGCGCGCCGCGCTAAGGCGATCGCCACATTGTGAAAACGGCCCGCCCTCAATCTGTGAAGCCCTGGCATCGTGTAAAACGAATGCGCGCCGCACCAGGGGGAGAGCCACATTTTGAAAACCACCCGCCCTCGATCCGTGAAACATCTGCAAAGTTTAGCAACGAATGCGCGCCGCGCTGGGGCGAGAGCCACATTTTGAAACCACCCGCCCTCGATCCGCGAATCTCCTGCAACGTTTCGCAACGAATGCGCGCGCATCTGAGGTGAGAGCCACAGGTTGAAAACGAACCGCCCTCCATCTGCGAAGCTGCTGCCAACTTTGAAGCTTCGTCCTGATAGATGGCGAAGAAGTCTCCGGCGAAACGCCCGGCCCGCCCTAAATGCTGGCTTCGGGGCGCGGCAGGCCAAGGAAAAGGAAGGGGGAGGAGGAGGAGGAGGAGGAGGAGGAGCAGGAGGAGGAGGAGGAGGAGACGGAGGACTCAGGAGTCTGGAGTCCTGGGACGTAGTCCGAAGGAGGAGGGGGCGGGGCGGAAGAAAAGGAGGAGGGGGGGACGAATCGGAATCGGAACCGGAACAGACGCGAAGCGTCACGAAGCTGGCTACTCCTTTGGCTTCAAGCCCTTCGACAATCGATCGAGAATATCACGCATCTTGACCGCGAGGTTGGCAGTGATGCAAGCCAGTCCCAGGTCCAGAATCTGGTCGGACCCGAAAGGCGAACAGACACGACAAAACCAATAAGCACTAATTACCTGAAAATACATCCGACGCGCGCGGCGTGCAAATCCTCCCCCCACACGCGCGGCACCTGTCCCTGGCGCCGCCTTGAAGAGACCCGCGCCGACGGCCTCCAGCGGCCAGCGCGGGGTCGACAGCCAGGCTGTCCTGGTCGCCTTGCTGGACCTCGAGAAGTGCACTTCCTGCCTGCGTCGTCAACTTGATGGGGCGAAGATAAAATAGCGACGGCGGCAAGGGGCGGAAGCATGGGTGGGGACAAAGGGAGGAGGAGGAGGAGCAGCAGCAGCATACTGGGATGAAGGAGACCTCTCAGACTTCCTGTTCGTCACCGCCATGAAATCGGGCTTCGCCCACATCAATCTCTTCCGGACCAGACTGGCATTGCTGTCGACCTCGAGAAATTGCGCCATCAAGCCCTGCGACAGCCTAACTCCTTCGGCAGCGTGACTCGCAAGCTCGTCGACCACCGTATCTACGATCGCGAAGTGGGACGGGAATCGGCGCTTCAATATCGGCGACTCTGAGATGCGAGGGCACCCCGAAGACGATGATTGCACGATGACGAGGACGCTGCTGTGCACTCAGTATCTCGCCAATGGATCTCCAGAGGTGGGCCATCTCCCCCGAGAGATGCAAATACTTCTGAGCCCACCACCCACCCACCACCTCCACGCTATCAACAATATAAACGACGGGACCGACAGCGCAACGAATGGCAAACTCCAGCGCAGTAAATTCACCTCGAAGAGCGGTTTGGCGTGGCCCCCGCGGCGTTGACGACGGCGGGCGAGAAAATGGACGCGGCGGCCACAACAAAGACGATTCGCAAAAAAAAAAACACGCGTTTCTGGAGTCGGGCCCCCCGACGCGCCCCCGAAGACAGCGGCGGGGCCGCTGCTCCGCCCGACGCCTCGGCAACCGGGAAGAAAGCTCACCTCGCCATGGGCCTTCCAACTCTCCATGCTCGCTGCCGGACCGACCTGGAGCCACTGGGCCCGAATGGCTCGCCGGGGCCAACAACGAGCGAACATATCACTCTGAACGCACGCTTGACTGCAGAGCTCGTCGCGAGTCATCGTGGACTTGGCGCTGCATTCGCGCAGCCCGTTCCCGTGGAAGGGGGCCCCCACGCGCCTTCTTGCGCCGAGGGCAGGTGTCATCGTCAATAAGACGGACATACGTGCGCCGAGATTGCACCCAGGGCCACCTTCACAGCAATGTCGGCAAGAACTTCGGCTAACTGCCTGCCCTTGCGCACCTCGTGAGGCTCGTTGCTGAGCTTCCTCGCAGAGACGTTGCTGGCTCCGCCCTCGAGGCCGCCGCCGCAGACAGGACTAGCGGCTTGGCGCCAGAGTTGGCCAGCCTGACTGCCTTCAAACACGAAAACAATGCCGCTCGCCTGATCCATGCCAAAGAACTGACCATCCTGGAAGATCCATTCACTGATCGCGCCACCCTCCGCACTGGAAGCCTACCAGGCGTCAGGAGCACGAGGGGCCCATCCTACCTGCGACAAGTGCGCGATGGTAGCTGAGACGGGCCCGCGAATGCGCCTCGCGCGCGCGCCGGGCTGGAGGGGTTGAAATGTTGCCAGAATCTTCGGCCGAACTTGCCACGCGCCAGCTCGCGCTGTGGTTCTGCGAATCCAAATCCTGATCCAGTCTCGACTGTAAGACGTGGGTGGCCGAATCCCAGGGTCAAAACCAGGTTGCATGTCTGGGGGGCCAGCGCTTGCTCGAGGCCAGAAACGCACCACACTCGACGCCCGCGCTCGCCGAACACACTCGCGCCCACACTCCATGCCGACACTCGCGCTCCATACTCGCCCCTCGCGCACGCGCCCACACTCTACGCCCGCAGTCTACGCGCACTCTCGCACCCCGCACTGCACGCCCGCACTCGAACCCCACACTCACACCCCGCACTCTGCGCCCCCCCCCGCGCGCCCCCCCCCCCCCCCCCCCCACACCCACGCACGCGCACGCACACACACACACACACACACACACACACACACACACCACTCTACGCCTATTGTCCACGCACGCGCTCGCGCCCCACACTCACACTCCGCACCAGACCCCGAGTTGATTTACCGACATTAGACGAGTTGATTGCCCGAGCTGGTTTACAGCGTTGCTTTGCGGAATTGATTTACAGTGTTGATTTGCCGACTTACTTTCACGAGTTGAATTGCCGAGTTGGTTTCCCGGGTTGGTTTACAGGCTTGCCGATTTGATTTGCAAAGTTGCCGTGCGAAGTTGATTCAAAGAGTTAGTTTGCAAGCGTGGTTTACACAATTGACTTGCCGAGTTGATTCCCCGAGTTGATGCGTGATTGGGCTTGCGCGGGACGCTGAAATGGCGAGCATGAATTGGCGTTGACGTCTTGGGGTTTGGCATGACATTCCAACTGCGAAGTGCGAGTTGGTTCCGCGGGTGGATCTCCCGAATTGATTTCCCAGGTTGGTGCCCCGAACTGCTTCGCCGAGTTGAGATATAGAGTTGATTCAGAGAGTTGGCTTAGAGAGTTGACATCGCGGGGCGGCCTGCCGGGTTGAGTTCGCAAGTTGATGCGCCAAGTTGATTGGCCGCCTTGGTTTCGAGATTGGAGGTGCCGAATGGATTTCGCGAGTTGGCTGTCCGAGCTGATTCCGCAAGTGCGAAGTGCGAATTGGCCGCGGGGTGGGCGTCCTTGACTTAGCGCACCGAGTTGACCCGAGTCTCGCGTTCGTGTCGTGCGGGCGCAAGGCGCGGGAGGTGAGCGTGGTCGTGAGTGCGGGGCGCGGGTATGAAGTGCGAGCGTGGGCGCAAAGCGCGGGGGGCGATTACGGGGGCGAGTGCGGGGCACGAGTGCGCAGTGCGAGTATGATGCGCGACTTTGGGCGCCGGGTGCGAGGGGCGGCCGCGCGCCCGAAATGGCTGCTAGCTAGAGAGGCGCGATCGCTGCCCCACAGACATACCCAAAAGCCAGGGGCTCTCAGGTCCAACAATGCGGTCGCACCCGAGACAGTTCCCAAGCGCCTCCGAAGCCCCAAGAGTAGAGTGCCAAAAACGCCGTTGCTCTGCATCCCGTACGTCGAGGCCGCCTGCGCCCCCCCAACTCCACCTCCTTGGTCACCCGATACTGCCTAGTACACCTGGCGAACCTCCGAAGCTTGGAACATTGCCCGTTCCCCTTGACAACACGCTGCCTCCTGGTAGCTCTAGCGGCCCTTCTCCCAAGACCCTCCCTGGTCAACACCAAGATAATCAGCCTGGAGAACCGATTTGACGTGTATGTTGAGCTTCTTGAGCTGCTCAGACTCGGCGTATAATACGGTGCGAAAAGCAAATGACGACGCTCTTGTCAGCCAGCGCGAGCTCCTCAGCTTGAGCAACATGAGCATGCTCAATACACGATTTGAGCTCCTGAAAGACTGCCACCTCCGAGCCCACGATCGAATCGTCAAAATCATCGGTCCACAGCCGCTGACTCATACAAACGTGCGCCTCACACATCTTACGCATGACGTAAAACGTAACGCGCCGAGCGAACCGAATACCATTGCGAAAACCCAGCACGACGATGCGAGTTGGCTGGGATGCACACGAATGTGCTCCCAGCTGCGAGACCAGTCTGGGGGACAGGCAGGTCTGCAACTCGAGGTACAAAAGCATTGGTGGGTACCCTAGCCGCAGGGCGGCTGCAATAAGGCGCGGCCACTAAATGTGGTTGTACAAACTCTTGATGCCCAAACCCATATGGCCGACCGTCGCTCCGAGCTGGACTGCGACCTCAGACTCCAGGACCCTGAGGTGTGCTTCCCTGAGTGCACTCAGGAAGAGGAGGAGGAGGAGGAGGAGGAGGAGGAGGAGGAGGAGGAAGAGGAGGAGGAGGATGAGGAGGAAGAGGAGGCGGAGGAGGAGGCGGAGGAGGAGGGGGAGGCAGGGGCACACGGCCGCCCGCAGACAGCCCGGCGCCTCGGGCAGCGGGGGCGCCCCTCCCGCGCAGCGCGCCTCGCCTGCCCCGCGGGCCGGCACGCCCGATCGCGGCTGCGGCACTGGCGCCAGCGCGCGCAGGCGGGCCTCGGGAGGCAACTGCTGGGAGGTTTCCGTCGGGAGGGCCACAGGAAAACCAAACGCCGACCAGCCACAACTGGGGGAGCTGTGGTCCTTACCCCCCCTGGGGGAGCCCATCGCCTCGACGATCTCTCGACAGGGGTGTCGAGATCGATGGGTCCCCCAGGGGGGTAAGGACCACAGCTCCCCCAGTTGTGGCTGGCCTGAAACGACTGCACACCATTTGGGGGCTGCTACGCCGGATTGGGCCGCGGACTAGTCCGGATTGAGCCGGATCTAGCGGGATTGCACGGGATTGAGCCGGACTCCGGACGCCAGTGCGAAGTCAGAAGAGAATTTGGCCTCCCAGGAGTTGCATCCGAAAGGACCTGAGAGCAGGTGCAATGTCTTACAGCATTCAGCCGCAGGCCCGCTCGTGAGGATCATGGCGCCGTGTCCCGTCTGGGCCTGCTGCGTGCTGGGGCGCGCGCTGGGTCGCCTGGACGCTTCTTCGGGGAACCGCGTTGCTCTGTCGTCCCGGACCATCCTGCAGCGTCGGTCTGTCCGTCGGGGTCCGCCTGTCGTCTGGCTCCCTCCGCGGGTTCTGCGTGCGAAGGGTGTGTGCGAGAGGCGTGCTGCGGAAGCAGAAGCCGCACCCCGCGGGCGGCAGGCAGGTCGTGCAGATGCAGGCGCCGAGACACGACGAAGCGCCTCGCCACGGAAGGGACAGCCAGGATGTCGCTGGGTTGGACCGCATTCCCGAGGAGTCCTCCAGGGTCCTGAAGATGCCCGAGAGCTCCTTCCTCAGCGCTTCTCAGGTTCGTCTGCCCCCCCCCCGCAGATTTCTCGGACCTCCCGTGGAGCCCACGGTCAGGCGTTGGCAGAACTGGGTTTGGTGAACCTGGTTTAGTGATGTGTACTGGGGGACGCCCCCCCGCCCCGTTCCACTAACCGGAACCGCCGTCACCCGAAAAAACACCAGCTGCCGCAGACCTGGCTATAATGATTCTGGCTAGTTCAAGGGCTCTGGGGCCCTACCACAAACCGGGTCCCCTTCCCTGGGGTCCTGGCTATACCCGATCCAGGGTCCTGAAGGTGCCCGAGAGCTCCTTCCTCAGCGCTTCTCAGGATTCGTCTGCCCCCCCCCGCCCGCAGACTTCTCAGGACCCCCGTGGAGCCCACGGGGCTCACGGCGCAGCTCCTCCCGGAGCAGGAGGAGGAGGCGGAGGAGGGGGAGGAGGAGGAGGAGGAGGAGGGGGAGGAGGGGAGGAGGGCGCGCAGGCCGCGGCCCTCCTCCTGGCAGCCGGCGAGGGGGCCGCAGTGACGCGCGCGCGAGACGAGGGACCGATGGGGGCGCGCGCCGCCCTGCAGCGCGCGGCGGGCGGAGGGCGGGCCGCGGAGGCGGGAGCCCCCCCCGGGCGGCCCCTCGAGGCGGCCGGCGGGGCGTGCAAAGGCGCGTGCGCCGAATGCCGAGAGGCGCATACAGGGCAATGTTTAATACATGGGATTTTTTGTTTAAAACAGGTTTTTAGTACATGACTAATGTATGAGTAAATGTATGCATGAACTCATCGTTGTTTTCAGTACTGCATCCCCTGCATTGTTGATACATGATCCGCACGCGGAGCATGCATGAGAAACGGCACTGTAGATGCATCGGAGGGCGGAAGCCGCAGCAGCCAGGCGGCAGGCAGGGAGGGGCGCAGGCGTGTGAGAAGGGGGTGCAGACAACGTCGTGCGTGGAGATACCGAGGGGCGCAGCGCTGTCGCGGGGCGGCAGGCGACCTGCGGGGGCGGGAGCCGCGGCCCCCGGGCAACAGGACGGGGTTGCGGTATGCAGGCGCGTGCGTCGAGATGCAGTCGGGGCGCACGCCAGGAAGGCGCTCTGCAGGTCCGTCGGTCCCCGAAGGTTCTGCCAAAAAACCTGGAGAAGGCAGGGAGGGGGGGAGGGGCAGGATGGCGGAAAAAGCGGAGGAAGCACGAGGAGGGAGGACGTCGACGACGACGACGACGACGGCGACGACGACGACGACGACGACGACGACGACGGCGACGGCGACGGCGACGGCGACGGCGATGGCGACGGCGACGGCGACGGCGACGGCGACGGCGACGGCGACGGCGACGACGATGACGGCGACGGCGACGGCGACGGCGACGGCGAGAGGTGGCGGCGGCGGCGACGATGACGGCGACGGCGACGGCGAGGCGGCGGCTGCGAGAGGCGGCGGCGGCGGCGACGGCGACGCAGGCGGAGGTACGCTTCGCGGGGCCCTCGTAGATCCACGCCTGGCACTCGCCGACCTCGTCGCAGCCCGCACAACAGTCCTGAGGGCGAGCTGGCGGGGGGGCGGCCGCGCCGGGCCTCCTCGCTCCGCGACGGGGAGACGGGTGGAGGGTTTCTCCGAGAGGCTTAGGCGACCCCTCCTCCTCCTCCTCCTCTCCCTTCTCCTCCTGCTCCTCCTCCTCCTCCTCCTCCTTCTCCTCCTGCTCCTCCTTCTCCTCCTCCTCCTCCTCCTCCTCCTCCTCCTCGGGTCGCCTACGGCCCCGGGGGAAACCGTGCAGAGATGGAGGAGTCGTCGAGCGGCAAGCCCCAAAAACTCGGAACGCAAGACGAAGCCAGCATCGAGACATACTCGGACCGATGCCCGTCGGCTACCTCTGAGAAATAAAAGGGGGTTGTGAGGACGTCTCGGGCGGCGCGGCGCGGCCGTCTCAGAAAGTCTCGGCACGCTTCGAGAGCGCCCCAGAACTGGACAGGCGCGTTCCACTCCTCGCAAATCCACTACTCGCAACTTCCACTACTCGCAAATCCACCCACTCGGAATATTCACGACATATTATGACGTAAGGAGGAAGACCAGCATATTTCGGGCGCTTGCGATAAGGCACTCTGCGAGTTGTTAAGCGCGCTCGGCGAAGAATGCCCTGGAACGGACTCATTCTCGTTCTACAGGGCAGTTGTTAATACATAGGATTTCTAAACGAATGGGATGTTTAATACATGACTAGTTTATGAATAAATGTATGCATGAACTCATCGTTGTTTTTGATGCTGAATCCCTGCATGTTTAATACATGATCCGCACGCGGAGCATGTATTAAAAACGGCACTGTAGCCACGTCCGAAGGAACTGCGAAAAAGCAACACCCGGGATTCCGGACGAGGCGGCGCCTGGAGACCGACACACGGAGGCGAGACCCAGACGCCGCCGCGGGGTCAGACCTGGGAGTGCGACAAGCCGAGCCCAGAAACCTGCGCCGAGCCCCCCTCAGAAACCAGCGCCACGCCAATCCCAGAAAGCCGCACCGCAAGACACCGCCGCCGCCGTCGCCTCGCTCGTCGCTTGCCCCCGCATCCTCGTAAGTCTTAATCCTCCTCCTCCTCAACCTTGACTGAGTGGGCCCCGGAAACGGCAGGGACGTTCTTTCACCGCTTCCGAAAAAAATCTTGAAAATGGAAACGGCAAAAAAAGGCGACCGGAAACGGCAACGAAAACGGCTCCAGGATTGAACCTGGAGCCGGAACTGGGAAACAAGCACACCGACGGAACCGGTATAGCAGAACGGCGTCGGGACTGGCAACAAAAACGGCAAAACGGAACCAGTTAAAAAAATGGCCCTGTCGTTTCCAGGGCCCACTAAGATCGCAGGCCTAGAGGTTGACACAAACACCAAGGTCGGCGGTGTGCCTCCAACGGGGGAAGAAGATCCCGATCTCGGCGATGGTGGTAATATTATGGCTTCCAAGGTGGCTGAAATATTACCACCAACACCGAAATATAGGGTCATCTTACCCCTGTGGAGACAACCCCCTGTGTGGGTGTTGGTGCCCGTTTCCAAGGCCCACTGAGACCCTGGCTCCTCCCGTAGTCCACTCCGGAAAGCACGCAGACACCAGAGCAGCCAGAACTGAGGAAGCCAAAACCCGCGGCGGGACGTGTGCCTCCAGGGGAGACGTGGCGACGACGACGAACGCCATCAACGACGACAACGACGACGCCAACGGCAACGGCGTCGACGACGATCACAACGACGACTACGATAACCTGGCGGCGGCGGCAGCGGCGGCGGCGGCTGCGGCGGCGTTGACGACGACGACGACGACGACGACGACCACGGCGACGACGATGACGACAGCGTAGAATGAAGCATCGGTGGCAACAATTCTATGCCCTACGACGACGACGTCGATCCTTCCTCGCCGTTTCATTCCCCCATCGCCCGCAGGATTCCTGAGGACTCAAACGAGAATTCTGAAGAGCCGCATGGGAATCCGAAGAAGCCCTAAGGATGTCCGATGACATCCTGATGAATCCTAAGGACTTGCTCGGTAACCCTAGGAATCCTAGAGAAAGAGATGGAGAGAGAGAGAGAGAGAGAATGGAGAGAGAGAGAGAGAGAGAATGAGAGAGTGAGCGAAAGGGATAGCGCGAGAGTGAGACAGAAGCCTCTTGAAGCCCGTCGGACTGCTCCAAGAGCCTCCACAAGCCTGCGAGCACCCCGCGAACGAATCGAACGGTGTTCGAGAAGCTCGAGAACGAGAAAGCGACACCAGGAAGCTGGAGACCAGGCATGGCTGGACTCACACGTCGGGCATCAAAAAAGGCCACGAGCGCACGTGCGGAATGGGCGTCATCCCTGGCCACCATAGCAGGGCTGGGCACCGCGGAGACATCTGACCCTCCAGTCATCGGCCTGACCTAAGGAACGATACATAAGGAACAAAACCCCATTCTTCCAAGGAGTAACGCATAGGGAACGATGAACAAATAACGCATAACGCATACGGAACGATAAATAACGCATGCAAGCCTAAGGAACGACCGAGCCCCTTTTGGAAAGTAAGCGTTCCTTATTCAAGCCGCTCACTGTGTGCACCCGACTCTCGCCCGTTCCACGCTCAGACACGCCAGCGTTTGCCCAGGATCGGGCAGGGGAGCACGATATAGAGGGCAGGGCGAGTGACCCTCATAGGAGGCGCCCATGCAAGTCAGGTCCGTGAGTGGTACACGCGCCCGAGGAAGGAATCGAACAGGGCAGCGCTGTTTCGCAAACGCCCTGGACTGTTGAGCAAGCGCCAACTGATTGGGCGCTGAGGGACCGGCCAGGACCAGGAATGCGAGCCAGGGACCTACCCAGATCCAGATCCGCCGCTTGGGGACCGACGTCCTGGGGACCCGGCGGGCGGTGGATGGGAAAATGTCTTGGCCCCTGGGGGCCACACTTCATATATATATATATATATATATATATATATATATATATGTAAATGTAAATGTAAATGTATATGCACATATATATATATAATCGGCGGTGGACAAACCTCCCTTTAAAAGACCTCCCCTTAGTGAAAACGGCCTGGGACCGAAATCGACGGACCTGGACCCGCAAAAATGACGGCCGCGACGCCCTCTCGCGAACCGAAAACGGCCAATTCCTTAATCGACGTGTCAGGGTAGGAGGTCTATCCACCTCCGATAATATATTATATATATAATATATATATATATATATATATATATATACTAGAACCACGCGCGCGCTTCGCGCGCGCTTAGGTTCTGTCGAGTCACAGACCCAGGAATCGTTGTGAGAAGAAATTGGTGACGCGAAGCGTCGTGGGGGCGTCCTTGGACGTCTGGGGTCTCCTGGGGCCTCTTGAGGGGCCTCCTGGGGGCCTCCTGGCGGCCTCTTGGGGCGGAAGGCTCGAGCTTGCGGTTCGTGGTCCCCCTCTGGGCCCCCTCTTGGGCCCGTCTTGGGGCCCTCTTGGGCCATCTTGGGCGCCTCTTGGGCCGTCTTGGGGCCCTCTTGGGCTGTCCTGGGGCCCTCTTGGAAGCTTCTTGGGCCGTCTTGGGGCGGTCTTGGGCGCCTCTTGGGCCGTCCTGTAACGTCGGAAAGCCCAAAAGGCGACTTTGTGAAAAATGTACGTTTTACGAAGGGAATGGGCCAATTTTTGCGTCTAGGGGCCCTCTTGGGACGCATGTTGGAGGCTTCTTGGGGCGTCTTGGGGGCGTCCTTGGACGTCTGGGGTCTCCTGGGGCCTCTTGAGGGGCCTCCTGGGGGCCTCCTGGCGGCCTCTTGGGGCGGAAGGCTCGAGCTTGCGGTTCGTGGTCCCCCTCTGGGCCCCCTCTTGGGCCCGTCTTGGGGCCCTCTTGGGCCATCTTGGGCGCCTCTTGGGCCGTCTTGGGGCCCTCTTGGGCTGTCCTGGGGCCCTCTTGGAAGCTTCTTGGGCCGTCTTGGGGCGGTCTTGGGCGCCTCTTGGGCCGTCCTGTAACGTCGGAAAGCCCAAAAGACAACTTTGTTGAAAATGTACGTTTTACGAAGGGAATGGGCCAATTTTTGCGTCTAGGGGCCCTCTTGGGACGCATGTTGGAGGCTTCTTGGGGCCTCTTGGGGGCGTCCTTGGACGTCTGGGGTCTCCTGGGGCCTCTTGAGGGGCCTCCTGGGGGCCTCCTGGCGGCCTCTTGGGGCGGAAGGCTCGAGCTTGCGGTTCGTGGTCCCCCTCTGGGCCCCCTCTTGGGCCCGTCTTGGGGCCCTCTTGGGCCATCTTGGGCGCCTCTTGGGCCGTCTTGGGGCCCTCTTGGGCTGTCCTGGGGCCCTCTTGGAAGCTTCTTGGGCCGTCTTGGGGCGGTCTTGGGCGCCTCTTGGGCCGTCCTGTAACGTCGGAAAGCCCAAAAGGCGACTTTGTGAAAAATGTACGTTTTACGAAGGGAATGGGCCAATGTTTGCGTCTAGGGGCCCTCTTGGGACGCATGTTGGAGGCTTCTTGGGGCCTCTTGGGGGCGTCCTTGGACGTCTGGAGGCCATCTTCAGCATCTCGGAGCCCTCTTGGAGGCCTCTTGGAAGTTTCTTGGGCCGTCTTGGGCGCTCCTGGGGCCGTCTTGTCTGACCGGGGAGGCCTCCGGCAAGCCCCGACGAGCCTCCGGCCCCCCCGGGGCGCACATTTGTGGTCGAGGTCCCGGCCCCGGGCCCCCGGACCCGGTGCGCCGTGATATGTGTATATATATATATATATATATGTATGTATGTATGTATGTATGTATGTATGTATGTATGTATATATATATATATACACAGATACACACTAGATCACAAACATAGAACCCATACCGAAGTCCATATCCACATCCATATCCGCCACCTCCGGAGGTCTGCGGCCGATCGCCCCTCCAGGCGGCGGCTCCGCAGAAGCCCCCGCCTCGACAAGGAGCTGGGCATCGCTCGGACGCCCATTCCCTGTGCATTTTTTCGGTTTCGTGCGTGGTTTTTGTCGCCAAATCCTCGAGGATGCTCCTCGATGGTCCTCGCCGAAAGAAAAAAATGCACACGTCCGAGCGATGCCAAAGGAGGGGCCGGCAGGAGCGAGGGGAGCCGCACCAGGAGAGGGTGCCGCCCTCGCCCCCGAGCGCCGACCCTGGCCGTCCCCAGGGGCAACGGGCGACGAACGGTATAAGATAAACTGTTTCGCCGTCGGGGGCGCCTGCCCCCAAGGGCGGCTGGAACGTCAAATACGCTCACGGTGGCACCGTGGGGGTATAAACTTTCCAGCCGCCCTGGGGGCAGGCGTCCCCGACGGCGGAAAAATTATTTCATTATACCGTTCTTCGCTCGCTGATGAGGGGCAACGGTAGGGGCACAAACAAAAACTTGCTGGCGCTCCGCACCTCGCCCCCGCTCGGACGGCCACTTCCCGTGCACTTCTCGGTCTCCTGCGCGTGTTGTTTTGCTGCTCGGTGGTCCAGGATGGTCCTCGATGGTCCTCGCCGAGAAACAAGTGCACACGCCCGAGCGATGCCAAGGCACGGATGTCTTGAGCCTGCGCTGGACCCCTTTGCCAGGCGCGCGGAGCGCGCCGGGGGCGGCGCCGGAGGCGCCGCCGGGGGGCCCCAGTGCGGAGCCGAGAAATCCGCGCGAAGCGTCGAAAGTTTATGTCTGTGAGTCTTTTCTCTTCGACAAGAGCGGATTGGAAGGGCAACGATAGGGGGGGACTGGCACAGGGGGGGGAGGCATCGACCTGGACGCGGCGATGCGCCGCCGACAGATCGGCCATGGGCCCCTGAGAGTGCATCCGCACCCTCCGGGGCAGGTTGGGGCCATCGGGCCCCTCGCGGCGATCCATGGGCGAGGGGGGGGTCGACGCCTCCCCCCGCCATGTACCTCCTCCCAGGGGCAACGGCAGGGGGGCCCCCCTACCTCGGGAGCGGCCAAGAGGGGGGTGTCCAAGAGGCGGGGGTGCAAATCATGACCGGCGGCATGTGCGCGGCCCAGCGGGGGGGCCTGGGACGCAATGAAACAAGAAGGCGCCCTGAAACCTGGGGAAATATCATGGCCCGCGCCATGATATCCACCCCCCCTAGTCATCACCCCCTCTTTTCCGCTCCCGACTGCCGATGCCCCACATCGCGCCGCATCGCCGATGCATCGCCGATGCATCGCCGATGCGGCGCGATCCTCCGACACCATCTACTCCGACCCCTATCTAGGAGGCCTAACTAGATCCCAGGGGCAACGGTAGGGGAACCCCCTACCGTTGCCCCCGATGCCCGTCCCGGGCCCCTGGCTCGGTGTGCCCGCCCCCCGGGTTTCATGAGGAGGAGGAGGAGGAGGAGGAGGAGGAGGAGGAGGAGGAGGAGGAGGAGGAGGAGGAGGAGGAGGAGGAGGAGGAGGAGGAGGAGGAGGAACAACGACGGTAAGGGGGCCCCCCTACCGTTGCCCCCGATGCCCGTCCCGGGCCCCTGGCTCGGTGTGCCCGCCCCCCGGGCTCCCTGGCGAGGGGGGGCGGCGGCACGCGGCGACCCGGCAGCCCCCGGGCGCGGCGGGCCACGCCGGGCTCGCGGTGCACGGCGCATGCGCAGTTCGGCGCCCTCCGAGGAAGGCGCCGGCGTGCGTCGGCGCCGACGCGTGCTGGCGCCAACGTTCGGGGAGACGTAGGACTCGGGTACGGGGGACTCGGGTTGGCCCGACGGGGCCATCATGAAAATGACGAGGCCCAATCTGAAATTTGACGCGAGCTCCTGCTGCAGACATCCCATGAAAACTGGACCGTCAAAATCCAGGACGCGCTCGTCTGAAAAACGTCGGGAAACCCAAGTTCCGGCTTACTCGGGTCTTGCGTTTCCCCGAAACGTGTGTGTTGTCCACCGACGGCCTCCAGTGCGACGCCAGGCGGCGCAGCGAATGGGGGCCGACAGGGTCTGCGTGCTCTCGACGGAGCGGAGCAGGGCACGCGGCATCGGGCCGGCACAGATCCTGAGGATCAGCGACAGGATCGGTGCACGGCGCACAGCAAGTCGGCGCCTCCCGATCGAGGCGGAAGAGGGAGCGGGAGAAGCGGGGGCAGCCTCCATGGTGTTGGCCATCTCCATGTATGACTTGCCTGCGCGCGCGCGGCACCACGCGCCACACCCGCCAGCCTCTGCCGTTCCGGACGCTCCGAACTCGCCTGCGACCACGTGCAGTCGGGGTTCTGCCGCATCGTGGAGCGCTGGGTAAGGAGCGAAGGGGCGTATCTGGCCACGGCGAGCCTCGGCCACGACTGGGTTCCCCGAACCTAGATCTCAGTAGCTGATCGGAAACAAGAGCCACTCCTGAGGCCAAAGTGGTCATCACTTCAAGGGAGGGTGCCCCGCGACCGCTCTTGGAGCCGCGATCGCATGCCCAGGGGCCCAAGCGGTACTCCGTGACAGCGGCATGTCGCCAGATGCACATGCTTTGCTCTGGGCATGTCACGCCTGGTGTGGAGCATCGTGATCACAGCCTCGCCATCGCTCGGACGTCCATTTCCTGTGTTTTGTTTCGGTTTCGTGCGTGGTTTTTTCGCCAAATGATCAAGGATGCTCCTCGATGGTCCTCGCCGAAGGAAAAATGCACACGTCCGAGCGATGCCAAGCAGCTGTCTGGTAGCCCAGACTTCTGCTTGCGGATAAGACTTGATGTACGCCCGAGGCGCGGCCCTCCGCACTCCTCTCATGTGAGCTCCTCCCTGGCCCGCAGCGAATGCACTGCGTGTGGTCCGCACCTCCTCCTCCTCCTCCTCCTCCTCCTCCCTCCTCCTCCTCCTCCCTCCTCCTCTCCTCCTCCTCCTCCCTCCTCCCCTCCCCCTCCTCCTCCTCCTCCTCCTCCTCCTCCTCCTCCTCCTCCTCCACCTCCTCCACCTCCTCCTCCTCCTCTTCTGCAGCAGGGCCCCGCAGGCCTGGGCTCCCACGAGCCTCCGTCGAGCAGCCCAAGGGGACCTCGGGCTCCCCAGAGGCCGCCCTGATCGGGAAGAGAAGGACCGAGCGCTGGAGCGAGCTGGAGCCGAGGAAGAGCGGAGGCCAGAGCAGAGCTGGATGCCTCCTTGCCGCAGGTTCGGGATCATCGAAGGGGAAACCAAAAGGTACCGATACTGCTACTCACTGGGCTACTCCCGGGGAGCGCTCGGACCCGAGTTCCGAGGCGACTCCAGCGGAGGCGACGAGCGCCTGCGAGGACGCCCCCGAAAAAGAGGAAAACGGGCGGAGGGCAGCGGTGTGGGCACCTCTAGGGGGAAAACAGACCTACCTCGCTTTTGACCACGCTCTGAACCTCTTCCTCCTCCGACTCAGGACCCGCCCCCGCGGCTCGACGACGACGACGGCAGCCGGCGACGCCGCCCGCCCGCCCGCCTCCGCGAGCGCCCGGGGGCCAGCAGCGGCGCCCCACGGCAGCGGCCGCCGGCGGCGGCGGCGAGGACTGAATGGGGCCCTGGGACACACAAATGAGTACACACAAATAAAAAGGCTTCCCCCAATTTTCCGATATCTTCGGGGTTTTTGTCCTCCCCCCACTTCCCACATTTTCCCAGATCTTCGGGGGAATCGAAGATGAATTGCGTCTGCGTGTTATTTTTCCCCCCTGAAAGACGACGGCGGCGAAAACGGCGGCCGCGGGGCCTCGGGCGTGGTCCCACCGGTCCTCGCCCGCGTAGGCCCACGGCACGCCTCGGGCGCGCGGCCGCCGCGGCGGCGCAGGGCGCCCCTGCGGCGCGGGGGCGCCCTGCGGCGGCGGGCGCCGAGCTCGGCGGCGACGGCGACGAAGACGAGGAGGACGACAAGGACGACGAGGACGACGAGGACGAGGACGACGAGGACGAGGACGACGAGGACGAGGACGACGAGAGTGGCGACGACGACGACGACGACGAGGAGGACGACGAGGACGACGAGGACGAGAACGACGAGAGTGGCGACGACGACGACGACGACGACGACGAGGGCGACGAGGGCGACAGCGCCAACGACAGGGGGGGCCCGCGACGTGCGCGGTGTCAGTCTGGCGGGGCAAGCCCGAAGAGGGCAGCGCAGGGTGCGTGGGGCCCTCAGGAGTTTGTGCGGAAATGCCCGAGGTGCCAAGCTCCATCCTCCGCCCCAAATACCTCTCTCCTCCCTCCTGGCTCCTGCCTGGTGCATCGTGCCTCCTGCCTCGTCCCCGCTTTTCGCACAGTGGTTGTGCACCTGTTACGCGATGTCTTTTTTGTTCTGTACAAAGAAGCGGACATCTGTAGGAACGAGTCGGATGGAATACCCGTGTTTCGTCTGAGGCATGACGCTCATCTCGGAAGACCGCGCTGGATGCATTTGTATCGTGCACCGCGCTGGAAGACTAGCACGTGATAACGGCCGTTCCACTTGTAGGTGTTGGGCCAATCGCGCGCCTAATATGGGAGCTTGCGAATATGCGCATGGGGAAAGGTGGATTACACCCCACAATAACAAATCATAAACCGCGTGTGACGTGCGTTTGAAACCACAAGGGGACAATACATATATAATCAGAAAAATATAAACTGTACACACATGCATATACAAACCTATGGATATGTGTATATATATGTATGCATACAGACATGTAGATCCATCCATCCATCCATCCATACATCCATCCATACATGCATACAAATATAGATACTAAAAGCAAGCAAGCTTCGCACGCGCTTAGGCTCTAGCAAACTTTAGCTGTGCTCGAAAGTGTTCAGTATCGGAGGACATCTGTTGACGCACGGGCCCTGCCCCCCCGGGAGCTCCACCTGCGGTCCCAAAGACAGGCTCGGCCAGCGTTTTCCTGCCCTTGCCGGCACACCCCTCCCAGGGATCGCGCCCCACAGGGAGCTCCACCTACGTCCCATTACAGTTGGGGCCTTGAAGAAGGAACCCTTTTCGTTGGAGAGGGGTTCCGCGTTCCTTAAGGGTTTCACAGCTTGCCTTGGATTGTCCTTAGGTTTTCGATACGAAATCGAAGTTCAACTTATGGAAAATAGGGGCCTCGTTCCTTATTTAGGGTTCCTTACGTCAAGGCCCCGACTGTAGGCAAGGTTCGCATACTGGCACGCGGCTCACGCGGATCGCGCCCCGGAAGTAGCTGCATTGGCGGCTGAAGCCCGAGCTTCATTGGCGTCGCCCCACTCGCTTCGGCACACCTCTCACATGGATCGTGGCCCGCAGAGAGTTCCACGAACGGCCCCAGAGACACGGCTCGCATCCCGCCCCCTGCCTAAATCGGCACACCTGTCACTCCTGGGGTGTTAACACCCCCTCGATTTAAACCTAAATTCGTAAATCACAAAATGCCATAAATTAGCGCCCACCCCGTAAACTATCCAAACGCGCGCGCGCGCCGCGGCGCGCGCGGGGGGGGCTGTAATGTCCCGAGTAGCAAACAAGCATCATGTTAGCTTCAAAATCCAAATGGCCACAGTTTAAAGGTTCACTTCAGTGTCCAGGCCAACATGGCATCTTTTTGTTCCATTGTAGCCAACATAACTCCAAACAAGTGCGCGCGCGCGGAATTGCGCGCGAGGGGATGTCCGTGTTGACCCAAATCGATAGCATACACCAAAACCCATGTCAACTTCAGAATCCAATCGGTCACCGCTAAGGTAAGGGGCCACTACAATATCCAGGCCCACATGGCGACTTTTCGATTGTGGGCAATCGCGCGCGCGCACCGCGGCGCGCGCGAGGGCATGTTTGTGTTGTCCCTAATAAAAAGAGCACGCACGAGACACAATGATAAAAACAAAATCCTATCGGCCACCGTTAAGGGTTCATATGGGGACAATACAGAAATCCAGCCGGGCGCGCGCGCGCGCCGCGGCGCGCGCGCCGCACCGCGCGCTTGCGGCGGGGAGGGGAGTGTGAGTTTTGTTTTTGCACGCCACGTGTTTATTCGTCTGGCACGTCGGGCGGGCCCCTGAGATCACATCGGTCATTCACAAGGACCTGCGTGCAAACTAACAGGAGCACCAGCTGACTGTAAACCGACCCGCGTGCCGCTGGCCTTCTCTTAGGTCGGGCATGTCCTTCTACAGGCCGATTAATCTGGGGGGGCGAAACATCCAAAATGGACAGAACGTGTTCAAAAATAGTCGAGAAGAGCAACGCAAACAGAAAAACGTCCTCATACGAGTGCTAGACTATGTTTGGATACTCCTCCTGTAGAGGGACGCGCCCGACTTTAGCCTCAAGTCGGGCCTGTCCCCGTACAGGGGGGCTTCCGACGAAACATCTTTAAAAATACCCCCTAAAATAATCCAACCATAGTCTGGGGACTATTTTTTGAGCCTTTTTTTACCTTTAGGGTATATTTTTAGGTATCTGCTATGTTTCGTCGAAAATCCCCCTGTATGACGAACGAACAACACACACCCATACCCATAAGGGGGTCGTTGGGAGGAGGACTGGCTATGGGTATGGGTGCGGGTTGTCGGACCCTAGGGAACGCTCCCGTTCGAGCGGGGACCCCCATCCGACAACACGCACCCATAGCCCTTTCCGACCCCCCTATGGGTATGGGTGTGTGTTGTTGGTTCATCACTGTAGGGGACGCACCCGACGTAACTTTAGCCTCCTCTTCTCCCCTTCGAGCTGGGGCCCGCGCAAGTCGAGGTGCCGTTCTGCGCCACGGCGCAGGAGGAGGGCAGCGCCTCGGCGGCGGCCTCCGGGCGGCGGGGGCGGCCCGAGGAGGATCTGGGCATCGAGGAGGTGCGGGCAGCGAGGGTTAAGTCGGGCCTGTCCTCCCACAGGGGCATTTTCGACGACAAATATAACATACTACCAAAATAATCAAAACATAATCCAACATTGTCTGGGTATTATTCTTTGTATATGTTTTGACCTTTTGGTGTACTTTTGAATTATCTTCTATTTTTCGTTGAAAACTCCCGTGTAGGGGGACACGCCCGACATAAAGCGAGGGGGACCGAGGATCCAGGGGGATCGAGGATCGAGGATTGCAGCGCCTAGGCGCCACGGCGAGGCCGAGGGAGATCGATCGAGGCGCAACAGAAACGGCACAGACGCAAACTTTCACAGCGGTCCGCGCGGAGCTCTTGGATCTGCGCTGGACCCCTTTCCCTGGCGCGCGGAGCGCGCCAGGGGCGGTGCCGGAGGCGCCGCCAGGGCGCTCCAGCGCAAGTCCGAGACTAGAACCACGCGCGCGCTTCGCGCGCGCTTAGGTTCTAGCTAGGAGGCGAGCTTGAGTCAACGAAAGTCGCAGGGAAGGGGGCAGGGGGAAGAAGGCCAGAGAGCGCTGAAGGATACAAATACTGGAACCCTCTTGTGATTTTGTGGGGGGCCTCGTCCGGCCGCTCGCTGGGAGTTTGACGTAGCTTCTCGGGAGCCTCTGAACCTGTCGGGGGCCTCCTGGAAGCAGGTTCGAAGCATTTTGGGGGCCGATTTGGGGCTTCTCGGGGCCTCCTTTGGGCCTCTTGGGGGTCTCCTGGGGCCTCTTGAGGGGCCTCCTTGGGGCCTCCTGGCGGCCTCTTGGGGCGGAAGGCTCGAGCTTGCGGTTCGTGGTCCCCCTCTGGGCCCCCTCTTGGGCCCGTCTTGGGGCCCTCTTGGGCCATCTTGGGCGCCTCTTGGGCCGTCTTGGGGCCCTCTTGGGCTGTCCTGGGGCCCTATTGGAAGCTTCTTGGGCCGTCTTGGGGCGGTCTTGGAGGCCTCTTGGGCCGTCTTGGACGCGGTGAAAGCCCAAGATGGGAACATGCGAAAAATATACGTTTTCGCATGGAAATTGCACGATTTTTGTTTATTGGACCTCTCTTGGGGTGCCTCTCGGAACGTCTTGGGCTGATTTTGGAAGCCTTTTGGCGCCTCTGGGCGGCGTTTTGGCGCCTCCTGGGATATGTTGGGGCGGAAGCTCGGAATTCGAGAGTGGCTTTCTCCTTCTGGGACCCCTCTCGAAGTCGTCTTGGGGTTCTCTTGGGCCGTCTTGGGGCCGTCCTGAGCCACTCGTGCGCAGCCTTGGAGCGCTCCCGGAGGCCTCCTAGGCCGTCTTGGAGGCCTCTTGGGCCGTCTTGGACGCGGTGAAAGCCCAAGATGCGAACATGCGAAAAATATACGTTTTCCCATAGGAATGGCACGATTTTTGTTTCTTGGACCTCTCTTGGGGTGCCTCTCGGAACGTCTTGGGGTGCTTTTGGGAGCCTTTTGGCGCCTCTTGGCGGCATTTTGGCGCCTCCTGGAGCCTCTTGGGCCGGAAGCTCGGAATTCGAGGTTGGCTTTCTCCGTCTGGGACCCCTCTCGAACTCGTCTTGGGGCTCTCTTCGGCCGTCTTGGGGCCGTCCTGGGCCACTCGTGCGCAGCCTTGGAGCGCTCCCGGAGGCCTCGTAGACCGTCTTGGGCGCCTCTTGGGCCGTCTTGGACGCGGTGAACGCCCAAGAGGCGAACATGCGAAAAATATACGTTTTCCCATGAGAATGACACGATTTTTGCTTCTTGGGCCTCTCTTGGGCTGCCTCTCGGAGCGTCTTGGAGGCTTCTGGGACCTTCCTGGCTCGTGTATAGGGGGTAGCGCGCGTCGCTTTGGTAGCTCGATAAGTTCGGCGGATCCACCTCCGAGTCCATTTGCGCGCGCGATACCCGACGGACTCGCGCGCCAGAGCGCGCCAAAAGAAGCCGGATGGATAGCAAAACGTGCCGGACAAATTCCATGCGATGTACGTCTACACTCGCGCGATGGCAGCCCCGCGTCTTCCCGCGTTACATTGGCAGGGTACCTGCGAATGCGCTAATGGTTTTTGCGGTGGCGCCGCACTATAAACCCGTCGCGATCCAGCGACGCACGCGGCCCCAGGCCCAGACGTCGTCAGCGATGGCATTAATTTTTTTCGGCGTATTATTGAAACGTTGGGCCATCAAACGTAAACTCCCCCTAAGATTTACCAAACCGCGCGGGGGCCGAATGCGAACGCCGTGCGGCCCGCGTACCGTCAGCGCGCGAACAGACTTAACATCTCGCCGTGGGCGCGACGAATGCGGGCCGCCTTTAAAGCGCCAGGCGCATCGCGTGCGAAACAACCCTATCCGACTCGTGCGCGAAGCAAGTTTTGATACGCTTGTGGCCCGTGCGCGAGACGCATGCGAATCGCGAGCCGCTCGCCTGCGAACTGCGCGCAAATCACTTGCGAACCGCGCGCGGACTGCATGCGAGGCGCATGCGAACGGAGTGCAGCGTGCTACTCAGATGCAGCCGAATGCGAAACGCATGCGACCGCGTGCGTCGAGCATGCCAATCGTACGTGCGCCGCACACAGGACGCATATGGGATCTGCACATCAACCGCATGCGAAACGCACGAGGCGCGACCGAACCGCATTGCGACAGGTTGGCAGCCGCATGCGGCCCGCATGTAAATTGTATGCATACCGTATGTCGAACGCAGCGCAACGCAGCGAAGCACATCCCAGAGCGTCGCAGTTTGAGTCCTTAGGAGCCCACAGAAGTCAATGGGAGTCCTTCGGAGCCCGTCGCACCTGATGCGTTTTGTGTATTTAAACGTATATATATACATACCTATATATATGCATTATGTATGTGTATATATATATGTATACATGCGCTCATTTGCTTATCTGCATTTATGTAAGTACACATGCGTCTGTACATGTTCGTTCTATGTATTTTCGTACCAGCCAGTGCTTAATACATATACATACATATATGTATATATATATATATGATCTGTGGTGCTCCTAGACGCCAGGCCATGTAATGCTACACGCGTGTACACGTACATTTTTATATGCACACATACAACATATCCAATACACCCTATTGGCATTCGGCCATTCCCGCCACCGCGCCTGGGTTATGTGGCAGAGGCCTCATGTATGTTCGTTGGGATCTCGTGGGGAGGCCTGCCGGGGCCTGTTGGACGCCGCTTTGGGGCTTCTAGGAAGCAGTTTTTTTGCCTATTGTAAATTTCTCGGGGCGTCCCGAAGGCCTCTTGGGGCTGCTTGGGGACCTCTGGGGCATCCTCAAGTTTTTCTAGGGTTGAGAGGCTCGGAATTTCGGTTCGCGTTCCCTCTCTGGGCCCCCTCTTGGGGCTTCTTGGGGGCCTCTGGGACATCCTCAGGTGTTTCTTGGGTTGAGAGGCTCGGATTTTCGGTTCGCGTTCCCTCTCTGGGCCCCCTCTTGGGGCTTCTTGGGGGCCTCGGGGGCATCCTCAGATTTTTCTTGGGTTGAGAGGCTCTGATCTTCGGTTCGCGTTCCCTCTCTGCCCCCTCTTGGGGCTTCTTGGGGGCCTCTGGGGCCTCTTGGGGCCTCTGGGGCTTCTTGGGGGCCTCTGGGCTCCCTTTTGGGTCCGTATTGGGGCCTATTGGGCCGTCTTGGAGGGACCTCTCGGGCCGTCTATGCGTAGTGTTGTTTGTTTTTTTTCCTCTCGCGAGCTCCCCAGGAAACTTCACGGCGCTTGAGCGCCCGCCTCAACGGTCCTCTGCAGTGCTACCCACGCAAAGCCAGACCATTAGTTTCAACGCATGCTCGCAAGAGTGGCCGTAGCACTCGCGAGGTCCTCCCAGCGCTTCTGAAGCATGCGTGAGTCGGCTAATTGCGCCGCTGGCAAGGCCCGTAGCATCAAGCGCTCGATCACGCTGACCGTCATGGCATTGCCAGCGGCCGCCATCATCTGGTTCACCGAAACTTTTCCGATCTTGATCAGCTTCGGGTTGTGGGCCTGGAGGCGAAGGCATTCGTTCAAGCGGAGCCGGCGACCACGATTGGAAACGTAGTAACCTCCCGTCCTGCCACGGCTCGCCGTCAAGCACAAGGACTCGTCGTGACGCCAATTCATCTTGGTGCTGTCTATGTCTATGACGCACGCCTTCTTCGTCGGGTCCCAACTCAGCTTCTTGATGGCCTCAATTGCCTCGATCAAATTGTTGCAGGCCGTGGTCTGCGTCGCCTTCGGGGCAACCATTTTGAACGGCGTCTCCTTGGGGTCGAGGATCGTCTTCATTCCGCACTGCTTGAACTCGTGCGGCCACTCGAAGGTGCCATCGTCCACGGTCTTCAGGATCCCGATGAGATAGATCCTCTGCCGATGCTGCGGTACTCCACCAACCTTCGCTGAGTCCAGCATATTTGTGTACACATTGTACCCGCCATCGTCTTTGAACCGCGTGATGAACGACTCGAGGAGAGAGCCATGCCTCGCCACTAAGCCATCTACGTTCTCGAGGAGAAACACACGGGGCCGTTTCGAGACAATCGTATCGATGCACCGATTGAACAGAGCCCCGTCCCCACCGCGTCGCCCTGCACGACTGAATGTCTGGCAAGGTGGGCCAGCAATGTAGACGTCGATCGGGGAATCGATGGCGGAATCGTCCCTCTCGAGCATGTCCTTGAAGAAGTACACCGGCTTGATGTTGTTTCCCAGGAACTTTTGCAAACTCTTGGGATTCTCGCTGGCAGCGACATGTACGATGTCCACACCCAAACCGGACAAAGCTTGGAGAGGCGCCTCGATGCCAGAACAGTCTGTCATCACGTAGAGGCTGTTGCGTTCTGTGGGCGCCTTGACCGGGGACTTCTTAGTGGTCGCTGGACGACAGCCACCGCCAGGCGTGGGTTGCTTCGCCACCATGGCTAGGTGGCACCGCCGCCTCGCACCAACAGAAAAGCTCGGAGAGCCCAGAGCCCGTGCTTGGGCCAAAACGGCTACGGAGGAGGAGGGGTGGAGGAGGATAGATAGATAGACCATTGAACTGAGTTTGTCTACTTGCGAAGGGCCAGCAAACGAGCAACGAGAATCTGCGTTCAACTTGCTATCGATACTGCTGGCCTGCAAGAAGAGGAAAGGGAGGAGTAGGAGGAGGAGGAGGGGAAGGAGGAGGAGGAGGAGGAGGAGGAGGAGGAGGGGCCCGAACGACTCACACCAGATGAGTCGTTCGGGCCCCTCTGGACTTGGATGAAGACGAGAAGGGGGAGGAGGGGGAGGCGGAAGAGGAGGAGGAGGAGGAGGACGAGGAGGACAAGGAGGAGGAGTAGGAGGACGAGGAGGTGGACGAGGAGGTGGACGAGAAGGAGGAGGAGGAAGAAGCGGCGGAAGGGGAGGAGGAGGACGAGGAGGAGGAGGAGGAGGAGGATGGAAGACGACCCGGGGAAACGAGGGGCGCGAACCCAGGAAACGGGAGGCGCGAGCCCAGGAAACGCGGAAGGCGCGAGCCCAGGAACGCGCGAGCGACGACCCAGGGATTCCCGGAACGCGCGGCCCGGGGAAACCGTAAGCAGGGCAATCCTAATCCTCCTCCTGTCCTGCTCCTGTCCTCCTCCTCCTCCTCGTCCTCTTCCTCCTCGTCCTCCTGTTCCTCCTCCTCCTCCTCGTCCTCCTCCGCCTCCTCGCCCGCCCGCCCGCCCGCCCGCGGCGACGACCACGACGACGACCGCTAAAACAAGAACGACAACGGCGAAGACCACGACACCACTAAATTCGAAGTCCGACGATGAAACGACGACGACGACAACGACGACGACGACGACGACGGCGACGGCGACGACGACGACTCCGACGACGACTCCGACGACGACGACGGCGACGACGGACTACGGCGACTCCGGCGCCGACTCCGACTCCGACCCCGACCCCGACGGCTCCGACGACGGCGACGACGACGGACGACGACGACCACGACGACGGAGCGACCAAATCTTTTGAACCAACTGTGTCAAAAGATTTGGTCCTTGGTGATGTCTTCGGCGGACGACGACGACGACGGACGACGACGACGACGACGACGACGGAGCGACCAAATCTTTTGAACCAGCTGTTTCAAAAGATTTGGTCCTTGGTGGTGTTTTCGGCAGCAGCGACGACGACGACAACGACGGCGACGACGACGACGACGACGACGAAGACGACGACGACGACAACGGACGACGGACGACTGACGACGACGACGGAGCGCCAAATCTTTTGAACCAGCTGTTTCAAAAGATTTGGTCCTTGGTGATGTCTTGGGCGGCGACGACGACGGACGACGACGACGACGACGACGAGCGACCAAATCTTTTGAGCCAGCTGTTTCAAAAGATCTGGTCCTTGGTGATGTTTTCGGCGTCGACGACGACGACGACGACGACGACGACGACGACGACGACGGCGACGGCGACGACGACGACGACTCCGACGACGACTCCGACGACGACGACGACGGCGACGACGGACTACGGCGACTCCGGCGCCGACTCCGACTCCGACCCCGACCCCGACGGCTCCGACGACGGCGACGACGACGGACGACGACGACCACGACGACGGAGCGACCAAATCTTTTGAACCAACTGTGTCAAAAGATTTGGTCCTTGGTGATGTCTTCGGCGGCGACGACGACGACGGACGACGACGACGACGACGACGACGGAGCGACCAAATCTTTTGAACCAGCTGTTTCAAAAGATTTGGTCCTTGGTGGTGTTTTCGGCAGCAGCGACGACGACGACAACGACGGCGACGACGACGACGACGACGAAGACGACGACGACGACAACGGACGACGGACGACTGACGACGACGACGGAGCGACCAAATCTTTTGAACCAGCTGTTTCAAAAGATTTGGTCCTTGGTGATGTCTTGGGCGGCGACGGCGACGACGACGGACGACGACGACGACGACGGAGCGACCAAATCTTTTGAGCCAGCTGTTTCAAAAGATCTGATCCTTGGTGATGTTTTCGGCGTCGACGACGACGACGACGACGACGACGACGGCGACGGCGACGACGACGACGACTCCGACGACGACTCCGACGACGACGACGACGGCGACGACGGACTACGGCGACTCCGGCGCCGACTCCGACTCCGACCCCGACCCCGACGGCTCCGACGACGGCGGCGACGACGGACGACGACGACCACGACGACGGAGCGACCAAATCTTTTGAACCAACTGTGTCAAAAATTTTGGTCCTTGGTGATTTCTTCGGCGGCGACGACGACGACGACGACGACGGAGCGACCAAATCTTTTGAACCAGCTGTTTCAAAAGATTTGGTCCTTGGTGGTGTTTTCGGCAGCAGCGACGACGACGACAACGGCGACGACGACGACGACGACGACGAAGACGACGACGACGACAACGGACGACGGACGACTGACGACGACGACGGAGCGGCCAAATCTTTTGAACCAGCTGTTTCAAAAGATTTGGTCCTTGGTGATGTCTTGGGCGGCGACGGCGACGACGACGGACGACGACGACGACGACGGAGCGACCAAATCTTTTGAGCCAGCTGTTTCAAAAGATCTGGTCCTTGGTGATGTTTTCGGCGTCGACGACGACGACGACGACGACGACGGCGACGGCGACGACGACGACGACTCCGACGACGACTCCGACGACGACGACGACGGCGACGACGGACTACGGCGACTCCGGCGCCGACTCCGACTCCGACCCCGACCCCGACGGCTCCGACGACGGCGACAACGACGGACGACGACGACCACGACGACGGAACGACCAAATCTTTTGAACCAACTGTGTCAAAAGATTTGGTCCTTGGTGATGTCTTCGGCGGCGACGACGACGACGGACGACGACGACGACGACGACGACGACGACGGAGCGACCAAATCTTTTGAACCAGCTGTTTCAAAAGATTTGGTCCTTGGTGGTGTTTTCGGCAGCAGCGACGACGACGACAACGACGGCGACGACGACGACGACGACGAAGACGACGACGACGACAACGGACGACGGACGACTGACGACGACGACGGAGCGACCAAATCTTTTGAACCAGCTGTTTCAAAAGATTTGGTCCTTGGTGATGTCTTGGGCGGCGACGACGACGACGACGGACGACGACGACGACGGCGACGGAGCGACCAAATCTTTTGAGCCAGCTGTTTCAAAAGATCTGGTCCTTGGTGATGTTTTCGGCGTCGACGACGACGACGACGACGACGACGACGACGGCGACGGCGACGACGACGACGACTCCGACGACGACTCCGACGACGACGACGACGGCGACGACGGACTACGGCGACTCCGGCGCCGACTCCGACTCCGACCCCGACCCCGACGGCTCCGACGACGGCGCGACGACGGACGACGACGACCACGACGACGGAGCGACCAAATCTTTTGAACCAACTGTGTCAAAAGATTTGGTCCTTGGTGATGTCTTCGGCGGCGACGACGACGACGGACGACGACGACGACGACGAAGACGACGACGGAGCGACCAAATCTTTCGAACCAGCTGTTTCAAAAGATTTGGTCCTTGGTGGTGTTTTCGGCAGCAGCGACGACGACGACAACGACGGCGACGACGACGACGACGACGACGACGAAGACGACGACGACGGCTTGGGTTCCAACGTGGGTATGTTAATATAGAGAGGGTCATGAAACAAACGTTGCAACACATATTCTGCGTATCTGTGCATATGCGGTCTGGCAGATCGGGGTGGCATCATCGCGACGCCAACGGGCGTCGCGGACTCGAGCCTTTGGCCTGGAAGCACGAAGCGCACGATTACCCAGATCATGAAGTTCTGCAACCAGTCACTGTGCTCTGGGGGTGCGCGGACACGCAAAACACTGTTCAAGTAATCGTTAGCTGGCGCCCGCCTCGAACTCATGCCATCCCCCGCCTTTTCCAAATATCCCTTCGCTGCGGCCCCACCTTCCTCATGCCCCTCCGATTGCCCCGGTCCTCATCATGCCCTTCATCTACACTGCCCCCCCCATGTGTCAATTCACGTCGTTCCTCGTCGTCCTCCTGCGCCGGATTCCTTCCCCCATCGTCCACATGCCTGCCCTCCTCCCATCCTCTACGCCCTAGTGCACATCATGCCCCCAATTTCTGCCCTCCCCCACCTCCCTCGCCCTCGTGATGCTGACGCCGATGATGCAAATCCTCCTGGGCTCTCTTCCTCCGCTCTCGTCCAGTCGCGTTCATCCTTGGCCCCTCGGCCACCCCTCCTATCGAACCCCTTCCTTCCCACAGCCCACCATCCCCACCCCCCCGCGCCTTTGCATGCCCAGACCACGGCCCCCTCCTGGACCAGCCAGGAGACCCACGGAAACTCCCGCCCAGTGACCACTCCAGCGGGAGGCGCGCAACAAATGCACAGTTGGAGACACGAACTGTGTATTTCGACCGCGCACGACGCCGCCCCTGGACCAGCCGGAAGAGAAACGCGAAAGTTCCCGTCCATTCAACACCACCCGCGAGGGGCACACTCCAAATACACAGATGGGAACGAGATGTGTGTACACAGGTCACACCACGATCTGTGTAAACAGCGGGCCCACACACGAAAATACACAGTTGAAGACACAAACTGTGTACACAGATCACACCTTGATCTGTGTATTTCGAAAAGGTGAACGCTCGCCACCTCGAGGGCGCCCCGACTTTGCCAACCCAGAACCGGGGTCGACATGCCCAGCTGGGGGGGGGGATGCAAATACACACTTCCCCGGCCCAGGGCGCCCCCGAGAGAACCGCAAATGCACGCTCCCCTGGCCCAGGGAGGGCGCGGTGCAACGCGGCGCCAAAGCGGCCCCCAACGGCCCGAAAACGTTCCAAAAAGGCCTCGAAAGACCCCAAAGAATGCCGCGCAGCAATCCGAAAACACGAGAGATGTCACATGTCAAGGACCTCTTAACAGTCAAAGTTCCA